GCCAATGAACATACATGATCCTTTTCTGAAACAAAGCATGACCAAAATTTACAAAATTACACATTTCTGTTGTGAATATGACCAAAAATGAGTGACTGAGTCCATAAAGTCAGCAGGAAAGTATTTTCTGAGATGAAAAGACTTATCCATGGACTTATGGAAGCCTTTTTGCAAACACAGGGGACATTAAAAACACTACAGATTCAAGTCACTTCCTCACATGGCTCCACATTTAACATACCTGGAAGATACATCCATATTTTATACTGTAGGGGTGCCTAAAACTAGGACAGCTAACCATTTAGCTAACTTGCATCAGACCAGTCATAAGCAAACGTAAGACTGTCCTCAAACTACAGAGCAGTCTGTAATCTCCACTCAAGACATTTTTTAAAATTCCTTAATTTCACTGATTGTTTTAAGCATCCATATCTGCAAGCACACATAATTAAAACTAATAGAGAAAACAAAACTTCAAACTCTGAGGCATTGAAAGAACCATCTAAATGTAGATGGCAACTTCATGATTCCTTACCCATAGTGTCCTTTTTTAAAAAGTTTTTGTTATATTAAAACACTGCAAACAGTCATGCAAACTAGATTTTTTTTAAAGGATCTTTGTTTTAAACATTTTTAATATTCAGTAGCTATTCGACTGTAATTGTAAATGTGTTGCTATGGGAACCAAGTTTACTTTCTATTAACAGCAGGAGAAGGAGAAAAATGTAATTTAATTAAGACATCCTGTTTAAATATATTTATTTAAATATGGAGGGGGGGAAAAATCCCCGACAAAAACGAGGGAACAACAGCTATGTATTTCCTTCTTTTCTCCCACGGTCTAACCTGTCTTCAGCGGTTGTAAGCTGACACCACAAACTTGCAGGCATTTAAAAGTGACGGCCCCCTTTACATACTTTAGTGTACTCACATGTGGTGGACCTGAGGGCGCTGAACATCTGGTCGTGAGTGATGTGTGTACCAGACGAAAAACACGTAAGAAGAAGACTGTGAATAAGAGACATCTGTGGAAGAATCCTACAGTTACTGTGAGCGTTTTGTAAGTATATTTTATATTTATGTGGAATTATTATTATTATTATTATTATTGTTATTATTATTATTATTATTATCATAGCTGTGGTCATAACAATTTATTTCAAGAAATAGAAAATGTATCAAAATTTACTATTTCAGAGTTGCTTGTGTATTTTACAACAACTACCACTACATGTAGTTAACCATAACTAACCATAACTTACCTTTTTTCTGTCAGAAGAAAATGTGTCTTTAAATGTCAGCTTTGGAAACTTATTTTCACATAAGCACTCACAGAAGTTACTAAATGAAGAAACTGTTCTGAGGAGCTCATTGTTTGAACCAGTGGAAGATTGAAAAATGTATATCTTGGTACCAGAATTTGATTTGATAGGGTTTTACTGGAGCAAGAGCGTGTTTTATCGAAGGAGCATAAAGAGGTGCAGCAGGTGATAGACCTTCTCATCCTGTGTTGATATGGAGTTTATTTAGTCTAGAAGCATCGTAGGGTAGGTCGTGGAGTGAGAGCTGAAGCCTCTTCTTCATTCAGTAGTTTTACATTACCTCTTCTACTTTCCAACAAGTCAAATGAGACGGACTCAAAACTGATGGAGTAAGATGCTGCCAGCAGCGCTACTGCCGTCCAATATTTTATTGATAGTAATTTCAAATAGTTGCCACACAGAAAGCATCAGATTTTGTTGGAAGCTGAAGAAATGATTTCTACTTGTTTTAACCCCAAAGTAAACACCAAAGCTGTGCCTGCCATGTAGGAAAGGAATGTAGTTGTTTACCAGATGCTGCCAGGCTTTGATTTCATTTAATAGCAGAGCTGAGCCGAGGGTTGCAAGAATCCCATTCATAAATAACATCTTGTCTTACTTAGACACATTTAAATGAATGCTTTGGCTCAGGTCCGTAATAATTCAGGTAGTCAGGTGTGTAACTTTGCTAGTTTTCCTCTAATAGCTCATTTAGAAGTGAAGATTTAGGCTTTTATTTTGAAAACACATTAAAGGGTGTGAGATAACAGTGAAGCACATCTCTCTTTGGAAGCATTAAAGTTTGGGCAAAGTAAACAAGGTGTAAATCAGAGCTGCATGCACGGACCTGTGTGTTTGTTTATTCGGCATTGATGTGTGTGTCTTACAGCCTTTACACGCAGCTCTGCAGGAATATAAAGGCTGCTAGTGTCTGAGAGCTGGGCCAGTGGTTGACCTCTGCCTTCCCTTCCCAGCAGAGCTCTCCTGTAGCAGAGGTGTGAATATTGCACCTGGATGTTTTCTTAGAGACAGAGGCTCCCGTCTGTCAATCTGTAATCCAGCATCAGACTAGGCAGCCTGTGCCCTCCACATATAGCTTGCCTCGGTCCCACATCTGCATGAAATGTTTAAAAATGATATTTTACACTGTGTCTAGTCAGAGTGGTATTTTTACAAGTTTCCCACATTCATCTCACACAACCCAAGGTCAGAATTCAGTGCAGCTTTGCCTGACATCTTTTGTGAACATGCTACAAAGAGGTTTGCTGCCAAGAGAAGTCAGCTTTACAGCAAACTACACCTGAACTTGTAGTGCTTATCTGCAACGAGGAGCTACATGTACTTTGATAGATAAAACACAGGTGGTATCAAAAAGCCAGCTGCGATCCTGCTGATCTGGGTCCCTAACATCTATCTTCAGGTGTGCATTTACTTCACTATTCTACTAAAGGCAATAAATATTGGGAGTGGGATTTCCCAGAAACAGGATTTTTATCAGTTATGTTAGAAGCACAGCTCAAAGGACACCAATATCATTTTGTTTTTGTCTGGTGTGAAACAAGAGTAAAATATTATTATTATTATTATTATTATTATTATTATTAAAAATCTGACACGTTGTCTAAGCAACACACCAGTTTCCCTTGTTGGATGGCTACCACAGCATTTATGAGGGTCTCAGGATCACATACTGTATATAATAGATTGACATGGCCAATGTGACGTTACCTACCTACTAGTTGACTGGTTTTGAACTCTGCATTTTGAAGCTTCAATAGTACTGAAGCATAAATGTGTGAACAAGCGGATGGTTTGGTAAATTCTTAAAATGCCAGCAATCTTTGTCATCAAGCTCAAACCATTTAGGTGCAACACACAGAAATACATATTTGTCTAATATTGGCAGATAGCTGAATAATAAAATCCTAGCTTCAGTCATCATAAGCATGAGTACAAACTTCTTGAATGGGCTGCAACACACAGCAGGCATATTTGTAAGGTAACAATGGGAACCAATCTCTCATTTGGCTCCTGTGTGACTGGTTTTAGTGGAAGTGAAAACTAGCAGACAGCAATCAACTACAGCTCTAGGTAAAGTCTTGATGGTTGAGTCAGTCAAAATCAGCCGCCCTACACTGGTTATGAAGAGCCGCCGGGAGCAAAACAATTTTTTTGTCAGGCTTTTAATCCTGTAAAACTGTCTACCTTTAATATACAGGCCTACTGGTTAGCCTCAGATGGCCACCACATGAGCAGCGGTTTTTGGTATTTCGGCGTTGGCTTAATTTTGTTGCTGCTGTGTCGTGACTTGTAGACTACGCTCAGAGAACCCACACATAAGCATCAATGAGGCTTGTTTCCCGGTGCAGCTGAGGTTGCTGTAGGAATGTGTAGTAAAAAAGATTAAACTTGTCTCTGCTTTTAATTAATGGCAATATATCAGGTTCTGCATTGGGTCAAAGAACTACAAGAAGCATATCCTTATTCCAACTGTAATATTTCCACCCTCTGTGAAGTGTTTTGCCATTTGACAAGCCTTAAAATTAAGCCTATGCTGGACTGCTCAGATCTTATTTTACATCTCACCGGTAGCTTAGAAAAACACCCCCAACATCCAGAATGTTTTCTTGCCTTGTTACTTTATAGTAACACATTAAAGTCAGTCAACTGGCTCAAAGTAATCATATCTCTACTATATATCAGTCAGCACACCCACTGACCCACTGTACATGTTGTCATCTTAATTCTAGCTGATTAGAGAGAGCAAGCCTTTGCATGGTGCTGAGCTTTACGATCGTGACTGCTCTGGGAACAGGACAAATGAGCCATGCAGCAGCACCAGGAGACTGGCTCGGGGCTGTGGCTGTACATCTTATTAAACACAAGCTGCCTGCAGTCAGTTTAATCCCTTTGATTAATGATTGTGTGGATTGTTTGGTTGTGAAAACAGGGTTTGCACATGAAAACCAGTGCTGCAGCTTTGGGAGAAGGTTTCAACATGTTTTGTTGTTTTTGTACATTCACTTTAAAGGACTTACAAATATTACCCTTGAAAAACCATTATATTTTAAATTATGTATTTGGCTTTAGATGTATTATAATCTAATTAGATGTAGATGCACCTTTACACCATTTAGCATATAGGTATATGAGTTATTTTAACTGCTATTCATAGTTTGAATATGTCTGATCTATTTTAACTTTCTTCGTGGGTAACAGATATAAAAATTAAGGCCCACAGTTATAGGAGGGATAGTGTACATATAGGACAAAGGATGGTGAATATGACAGGAGGGAAAGAGAAAGAATAAGATTCATTGATGTAGTGAAGGAGGACATGCAGAGGGTTGGTGTGACAGAAGAGGAGTGAGATGGAACTCATCCGTAAAGGGAGCAGAGGAAGTCAGGAGGTCAGCTGTGTGAATGTCATACCCTAATTTGAGACAACACTACTCTGCACATTACTGATGAAGAGCAGGTGTGCTTGAAATTACTTACTATTGAGATGCAATAAATGAATAGAAATTGGAGGACCGGAGTCATGTGCGGTCTTAAATGGTCTTCTTTTTAAATCCAGTTTCTCTGGACTAGTGGGATTCATCAAAGATCATTTGGTGCTGAAACATGGACAGTGAAGTTGGAGCAACGAAAGCCACTCTTGGCAGTCCCATCACCCCGAGGCAGTTGACTGGATTGGGGATGAATGGCTGTCTCTCACTAAGGTACAGACACTCTGGACCAGGCCTGGCCTGTCCCCAGGAGTACCACCAGTGGCTCCCCTACCGCCATGACTCCAGCCTTCTGCCCATGAAAGAAGACCTGGCCTTCTGGCTCAACACCATGATGGGTGAGACAACTTTTTATTTTGTAATAAACTGTATTGAATAATACTGTTTTTCGCCAATGATGATCAGATCTTGCGGACCTTAGAGGCCTACTAGGTTTTTATCCATTAAACACCTCAGTTATATATTTAGGCCCAAAGCTATTAAACAATTTCTAAACAATAACCAATACTTTTTATTCTGTATTTGATTGGAAGCCAAAACAAGTAGCTGAGGATTAGAGTAATATGCTCGTTTTCCCTGTTTCTTGCAGCAGAATTCTTAACTAACTGTAATAAAAAGCATTGCAAAAAAATATTGCAGTATTGCACTGCAGTACTCAACTGGATGATCCATAGATAACTTTTAGATTTTGCTGGGACTCAGTCTAGCTATAATACTATACTTTCAAAACAAAACATGGCTACAAAATCTTGAATTTAGTTTGGATTTTTTTTCTAATCCACACAGTCACACGCCCAATAAATGTTAAATGCAAGTTGCGCCTCAATCAGCCATCAACAAGCTTCTGGCTTAATTCTGGTTCAATATTTGACATTTGGTCGATATTACACAAATTTTCAATAAGACTGAGGTCTATTGATTTGAGGTGAAGTTGAAGAATTTGGAAGTCATCCTCCAGTCCTTGACAGCTGGTACAGTGTTCCAGAAGGTATTTGGCTTATCCAAATTTCAGACAAGCTTCAGTTCTGAGCAGATGCTTCTTTCTTGGTCTTTGCTCTCTTAGTCCATTTCAGTGTAAAACTTGCTTCACTGTGGAAAATAATTCTGGTGTTCCTGCAGTTCCCAGTTCATTGCAGGGTTGAACCTTGGTGTTCTTGAACATCCAAACCAATTTCCTTTCATCTGAAAGTGACAGTTTTGGCAGAGTGGTGACACATCTGAATAAATTTTACTTAAATGCATTGAAATGCAGTAGTTTAGAAATGTCTCCAAGAGACCTTCCTATTATGTGTAAATCCATAATCCTTTTAGCTCTTCGCTGAGTTTCTTGGACTTTCCAATTGCTCTGAGTCAATCCAATAAGTGCTGTCAAACAAATCCTTTTATGCTGACAACAAGAAACTGACGGTTGTAGTCAATCATGATAGCAAGGTGTTACTAGATCTTTGTGTTGCCAACTTAAAAGAAATGTGTGGATTAGAGAAAACTCAATCTGAATTCAAAGTATTAAAAGATATTATTAACACTATTTACAAAGTGTGAATATATCAGTCATTTTGTTTGGAATCAAACATAATGACTGAAAAAAATTGATGTAATCATGTCATTATTATTTCAAACTTTGGTTCACCCATGTTCACTTTCACTCAGCTACAGTATAATCCAGAATTACTGATTTCATATTGGATTATTCTGAGTGCATCTGATTGTTAAAGAATCCTTCTTATGAAAGCAAATGGATAAGATCCTCTTGGAAAAACCAATAGAGGAACATATTTGATCGACTTCTAAGATCTTTTTTTGAGTAAAGCAAAATGCAAAAAGCAAACAATCCTGAGTTACAGTTGTGACATTTCTGTGTGTCATGTGTGAATTCTGCCCAGGAGTGGACCTCACAGCAGATAATCTGATGGAGAGTTTGGATAATGGCGTTCTGCTCTGTGAGCTGGCTCAGCTGCTGCAGGACAAGATGATGCACAACAACAATGGCAAGGTGATGTGACAACACAAAGTAATGTGCACAATTATTTGCACACCAAACGGAAAAGAAGGTAAGACTAATGTAAAAACACGTAATGTGAGTCATTTTAATAACAACAAAATAAAAACAAAACAAATGAAATCTAACTTAAGAACAGTCAGAGTTCAGGTAGAAACTAGGTCAGGTCCGACGTTGGCAGTGATAATGTCTGGCATTTCATTCAGTGCTTGTCTATGTCTTTTATGTCTATTCATGTTTTCTTTCAGTAAGCCTCTCCTTACTACAGTCATGTTTTGTAAAGATCTTACCCCTGATATGCCCTCCTTGCACACCAAATGCTGGCATAATGCAATTGGAGAGGAAGTTGTCTCTTCCACTCAGTGTGTTTATGCTCAAACTCACTAAAGAAGGCTTTTCTATTGTTGATCATTGGACAGGATCCATTGTGTACCCTGAAACACTGATCCGGGATAAAGCCAGTCAGTGTGCTTCTTAGAAATGAGAGCTTATGTTTCCACTGCTTCTCTGTGAATGTGCTTGTTGAAAACAATCAATCACAGGTCTTCACAAGAAGAGTGATCCACTGGCGAGCTGATGCAACTTCTGGATCATTTTTCGCCAGGGACAACACGGCCAACTTCCTCTACTGGTGTCGAAAGATTGGTGTTGATGAGGCTTACCTTTTCGAGTCTGAGGATTTGGGTGAGTTAAGACCTAATGAAGCAGAGAAATTCAGACCTTTGTTTCTTTTAACAATACAAGGCTCAAGTGAATCATGCCTCACAGCACTTACAGCACATTACTGATTAACATGAACATGTTGTATCTCAGCATGGTGTGCAGTGTGTCCTTAAAGAAACTGGACAATTGGAGAACAAAAGAAGAAGCGGTAGGCCTAAAAAAACAAAACTGTACAGCAGATGAACAGTATCTGAAAGTCATGTCCTGACCTTGACCTGACACAGGACCTAAGAGATACATCTGGGCCTTTAGTTCCATCTACTGTTCACTGAAGTCATTCTTAAGAAAGGGAAACAGAAGGAAAAGGCTGATGCATGCCAAATGACACAAGAACGGGACTGAAAATTAAGTATAACAGGTCCTACGGAATAACAAATCCAAATTTGAAATATTTAGCATTTGAGAGAGAGTTGATGGAGGCCCAGTGATACTTTGAGGCTTCATTTTAGCCAGCCATGTCAGAGATCTTGTCAAAATTGATAGAATTATAACCACAAAAAAGTCAAATCATCCATCCACTATGCACTGAAAAGGTGTCTGACTGGCAATGGCTTCATTTTTCGGTATGATAGTGATCCAAAACACACTGCCAGTGCAGTAAAAGCATACCTCAATAGAGGTGCACACAGTGGAACACTGTCAGCCATGGACTGGCCTCCTCAGAGCCCAGACGTCAACATTATTGAAGCAGCGTTTGATCATCTTGACAGAGAACTGAAAAAAAAAAGCTTCTATCATCCAAAGAAGAGCTTTGAATTTCCTTCAAAAAGCTTGGAGAACTATTCATGAAGACGACCTAAAGAAATTACAAGAAAGCTTGCTTGAGAGAGTTCAGGCTGTATTGAAGTGGTCATACCAAATATTGACTTTCAAACAAGTCCAAATCCTTTTTTGCCCTTATATACTGTGTTGCCATGTATGTTTTCCCATGATAGGTGACTATAAACATTTGCACAATACTATAGTAACAGTTGCAAAACTACTACCAATTGTTTCAAATTAAACATTAACAGTCCAGTGAGTCAGTGATACAATGTTTGTGACTCAGAAAAAGTGAAGTATACATATCTCACATCTCACTCCAGTCAAGTCCAATTGAAGTACCAGTTTTAATCAAGTTAAATGCAGTAAGTAAGTCTAAGAAAGAACGATTTGCACTTCTTAGATGGGCATGTCTCTGCAAGGTGGCAGATGCGTAGGAATGATAATGTACAGGCTAATCCCCACCAGCAACAATGAGTCTCCCCTGCAGGCAAAGTTACCCACTTCACTTGATTAATTGAAGGAAGTGGGAAAATACAGTTACCACAATTTGACAGACTTAAGTTTACTTCATCAGTGACACAAAGGGGGGATGATATAAACTTCTTTCTTTTGTCAAAACAGATGAGTCAATAGAAACGCAGCTGTTTGTATTACTTTTTTTTTTTTTTTTGCCATAAGTGAATGCTGTGGCTAATGTGATGTCTTTGGACTCAAACGTTTGTCATCTTGACAAATAACAAATTAATAACAATGTTTTCTGACACAAACTGAGTGTAGAGTTATTTTTATTTCATAAACCATAATGGACTGAAGTGGCTTACTTGTTGATGACTTCATGCCTTCATGCCCTCAGCAGCACATCCAGGGCCCTGAGGAATTCCTGGTTCAAAGAGAGAGATGCACAATAGAGACAGAATACCTCCTGAAACATATCCTCTATGTTCAGGCTGCAGGCCCTGCTTTTTTTTTTTTTTTTCTTTTTTTTTTTACAAAAACAGAAGCTTATCTCTGGAAAGATCTTTCCTTTCAGATAAGTGCCCTTTTTTTATTCGTACCCCTGTATCCTCTTTGTCTGTACGTCACGTGACGCATGTGCTGCCTGAAGTCCTCCACAAGCAGCCTCGGGAGGTGTGCCTGTGCCTGATGGAGCTGGGACGGATTGCAGCCAGGTAACTATGAATAACCAACTGTCCATCCACAGAGCAGCTCCAAAAATAAAACTGTGATTGCATTACACTTAAATGAAATGTATTCTTTTTATATCATAGTTTTCATTCTACTGCCAATAGCTGCATGTTTTCCTGTTTAATTTTCTTTTCTATATTTAACTTTCTTGTCATCTCATTTTCTGTTTATCCTTGATGATGATTTTCACTGCTATAGCAACTCATTCATTACTTTTCACCTCTTAAGTTTTCATTTAGCTGCATTAGGTGCTCACTTTAAAAAAAACAACTAAGTGATAACTGCTGAAGTATCTCCAAGAGTTTAAGCACCTTGATGTGAAAATCACTATGTTCTCTCTCCTGTGTTGATTTGTTTGTGCAAATGCAAATTTTTTTTGTTAAATTTCACTTTCAGGTACGGCGTGGAGCCACCGGGGTTGGTTAAGTTGGAGAGCGAGATGCAGAGGGAGGAGGCAGGGAGCTTATCTCCATCATCCCCTATTTTCATTTTTCCTCCTCTCTCATTGTATTCACCATCCCAGCCATCCCTACCACCTGCCCCTTCTCCCCCTCTCCCTGCACCCGCTCCCCTCACTCCAAGGACAACCAGTCCATCTGAACCCCTCGCTGCTTCGCTTGCCTCTGATCTTCCATCAGCCACAACAAACCCAGTAACTATGTTTTCATCCCCTCCTCAGTCCCCCCTCTCATCCTGTACTCCTTATACAACCACAGTCTCGACACAAACACCTTTGTTCCCTTCATCCTGCACCACTAACACATCTGCCTCAACTCCGCTGTCAGCGCCTTCACCAGGCCAAACCCTGGAATCCACCACCAAAGTCTGCCTTACCGCAATAAACGCCCGCCGTGCGACAGCTACACCTCCCACTAATTCCCCACCTGCAGCCTTGACTCCTCGCTCATCAAACAGGTCAACCATCAGGAGGAGCTCCTGCACCAGCATTTTGGATGACTTTGTGCGTATTTTGTTTCCAGTGAAATTAATCTCAGTGGTACACTGTTTAAAATACACTCTTTTTGAGTTTGTTTTCTCTGTGGAATCTGTAATAGGTAAGAAACATTATTGAAAATCCACCCTGCAGTTGTCCCATCACCTTCCTGGTTGAGAAACAACCAAAGGGCTGTTACCGTGTTGGGGACAAAGTTCTTTATATACGAGTAAGTATGTTTCCGTTATCCCTTTCTCCTAAAAATTACTTGTATTTTGACACATTCATGCAGTAACTTTGAGATCCTCCATACAACTCTTTAGATAATTTAGCCAACATAATAGAAGCAGTAAATACACTCTCTGACCCTTTGTTATGTACACTTTGCCAGTACTGAGTTGGACCCCCTTTAGCCTCCACAGTTATATTAATTATTCATGATATAGATTTAACAAGGTGCTGGAAACATTCCTGAAAAATTGTGGTCCAAATTGACGCGATAGCTTCATGCAGTTGCTGCAGATTTATCAGATCCATGATATGAATCTCCTGTTCCACGACATCTCAATGGATTGAGATCCAGTGGCTATGGAGGCCATTTGAGGACAGTGGTTTTTGGTGACCCTGTGCAAAATATAGCCGCAATTTCCTGTTCTTGGCTGACCACATAGCAGTGCCGTGGTACCCTATGTAGTTCCACTTCTGTACCTCATCTGCTTCAAGGTTCATTGTGTTGCTTGTTCAGAGATGTTCTTTTGGATACCTTGGTTGTAACAAGTGGCTGTTTGAGTTACTGCTGCATTCCTTTCAGGTCAAAGTCTGGTCATTCTCCTCTGACCTCTAACATTAACAAGACTTCTCTGACTTTCACCCAGAGAACTGCTGGTCTCTGAATATTTTGTCTTCTCTGTAAAGATTGTGTGGGAACATTCTAGTAAATCAACAGTTCCTGAAACACCCAGAGCACCCAGTCTAGCACCAACAACAACACCACCTTCAAAATCACTTAAATCACCTTTCTATCTCATTCTGCTGCTCAGTGTGAACTCAGTAGGCTGTCTTGAGCAAGTCGATATTCCTAAATACACTGAGTTTCTGCCATTTGATTGGCTGATATGTATTAGTGAGCAGGTGAATAGCTGGACCTAATAAAGTGGCTGGTAAGGGTATAAAAACATAATAAACAAATAAGTAGTATGTAAATATATATTTTTAATAGAAGTTCGGTTTACATTGCATTCGTTTGATGACAATGCTTTTAACTTGTTGTTTTTTTTAAATAAAATATTAAAGTATGTTTGCTAATAGGACAGGAGGCTTTGTGATACCAAAAGACAAATAATAAACCACACCTAATGGGAGCATTTGTCACAGATAACACATAATCACATATGAGGTGTGAACGTTTAATCAAGAGTTGAGTCAGCAACAAGTGCAATGTGTCAGAGGGACTGATTTGCATCACTTGGGATGGAGACCCTGATGTCTTTCAGCCTCCCTGAAACATCCTCCATCTGTATGCATGTGTTATGAAGGCTCAAGGATGGGGAGGCAGGGTTGCTTGGCAACCAGTGGTCAGGATACGAATGGGCTCACAATGATTGTATTCAGTACATAGACCTTCAGTGAAGAGTTCAAACCTGGAAGAAAAATAAACATGTTTCTTTCAGGGTGATTCTGCAAAGATATGACCCTAGTGCGCATTTTAAATGGCAGCCCACTCGGGAGTGCATGTATGTGGGTACGGTTTTGAATACAAAGATGTACTTCAGTGTCTTTCATACATCCCTCCATCTATAAAAACTGAAAATGTGACCTTGATGCTTGCTGTATGTTCTGAGTACACGATATATCATTTTAACATAAAAATAATCACTGGGAATCTAAAAGGTGAGATCTTGATAAGGTTTCTCACAGGTTGGATCACAGTGTTTGTTCAGGAGATGAAATTTATTAGATGCATAAGTTCTGTTGCAACAGCTACATTATGACATTAGTGTCAGAATGCATATTTCTTACTTCCTATTTAGAGAATCATATCTGTCATATCATAACAGATATAACATATGTTGGAACACCACTTCTTAGAAACCTGAGGAAGTACAGATGCATGATAGCCAAATCATGGGCTGGCTAAATGCATATGCATAAGCAAGATTAAAGCTTTTCTATGCTATCAAAACTGCCTTGTGTGCTCACATTCTTTATGCAGTCTTTCAGATATAACGTCTGTCCTTGAACCTGCATCACGTCTTCATCCCTAATTATTAGTTTGTAGATAAATTGCACTGCTTCCTTTTTTCCCGGTTGCTGAAAAGCAGACAAACATGAGCTGTTTGAATAGAGTGATCAGTAAGCCATCCATTACCTTGAAACCCACAGCTGCCTACACGTGAGTGGGGAAACACACCATAAACCTCCATTTCCATATACCGTGATAACCCCCGTGTCGCTCCTAGGGGAGTGTATCCTTCAGTGTGTACAGACCTTTTTAAAGAGCAGATACTATTGATTACAAAGACAAAGTCATTAGCGATGGGTTTAATCAGACAGCTTGTTAATGAGCGGCTGAGCATGACCGCCCCTCCTCACGTGTAAACTTTCTACCCCGCCTCTCTCTCCCCTTCTCTCTCTATTCCCTTTGGACTCTATTCAATCACGCTGGCCCTGGAGTGCTTTGCTATTCTTTGGTGTTAAAAAAGAGGAAGGCTTCTCTTTCTTCTCTCTGCCCAATTAGGCTCTCGTTCAGCTTTGTAGCAGAGACCCCGTCTGGCTGTGCTGATGGAAGGAAAAGAGATTTATAGCAGCTCACAATATTAAGACACATCATGCTAATATAGTGATGAACCTAAAAAGCACTCTTTTTTTTCATGATCACATATAGCTGATTAAAATTGTTTTCATAGAAACACTTCTTCATCTTCCTTTCTCAAGTGCTCTCGAGAAAGACGTTGACTCAACAGAAGCCATGTGGTCTTTGTTCTATAGCCGACCTTTGACATAACAGTGGAACGTGAAGAAATGATGAACAAGGAATGTGTGAAATATTTATGAAACCTGTACTCGGACCAAATCTACTGCCTTTGTTGTCATCGTTTTACCTGTTAGTAAGCTCAGATTTAGTAAACATTACAATGTAGCTGAGGCTTATGTGAGCGACGTTAGCTTTGTAGAGGTAAATTTAAGATTATGCAAATCTTCATCACCACAACTGTCCTCCAAATCATGAACGTGTGTCCAATCTGATGAACATCTTTACTGTAGTGGATTTGGGGATAACTAAAGTCACTAAGCTTTATCTTCTGGCGAATGAGGAGTTATTTTTAGCAAGATATCTCAATTTGACCTTTTAGTGCCATTCAGAATCTGCAATGGTCTAATCAATGTGCTGTCTTATAGGGTTTCTGTTATACTGTCTGCACCTAGACATACACCCTGTATTCAATAAGGAGGTCTCGCTGATGTGAGATCTCTAGTAAAGGGGAAACCGAGTACAACAGGCGAAACAGATTAATGGCATTAGAACCGGTATGGCTCATCAATTTGTGTGTTTGCTGTCAAATTTAAGAACTGAGCGCGCTCATAGCATCAAAATCAGCGCTTGTGGCTAAAGCCTGCCTCCTACTGGCATGTGCATAGAGGACTCCTTTTCCCTGAGTACACTAATGCATCTTTCAGGAGGAGAGGGGGAGAGAGGGAATCGATGGAGGACACAAGGGAATCCAGACGTTAGTTTATGGGCTGCAGACATAGCAGGGAGGGGGAGGAGGGCGGGGGTTACAGAGACAGAAATAAAGGAGCCTGAAATAACAAAGAGGGCTTTGGTAGATCATCTCCTTCAGAAAGATGCTGACTTGTTTCATTTTTGTATTTTCTTCTTAGATGATTAAGTTGGTCTCTTAATTGACAACATTAGTCCATGTTTGAAAAATTACACCCAGAAAATAGTAGACTGCAGAAGCTATTTATAGTCTACATCAAATAACAAATCTAAGTTTATCTTTCACTTTATTTAATACGTTTAAGCTTAGACAGTCCATTGTTAAGAATCTGGACTGAAACATGAGGTTTGCCAGTGACAGTAAATGAAGACAAAGAAAAAAACAACTGTGTTTAGACAGTTTTGTTTTTTTTAATTTGTATTGTGACTGATGTTTTGAGAATGATAACCAGTCACACTGATATTTCCTGGAAGTGTGACAGGAGAGTGGTTTATTCAGGATGTCAGACTTGACCCCTGTCAACCTCAACAGTTTAATCTGCAGGATAACAGCTGAGACGCACCACGTCTGGAGTTTCCTCTAAAGCCGCCCGTGTCTCCTGCCTGCGTGTGTGCGTGTGTCTGTGCTTGTACCATTGATTTCTTTTTCATCCCATACACGTGACACACACACACTTCCATACATAAAGCGAGGAGATGTGCTTGTATTATCGCATTCTTAATGGCCCTGTAATGAAGGCTTTATTGCTGATAAGGCAGGGGGTGGGTGGGGGGGTTGCTGGCGCTGACAGAACAACGGATGGCTTTGCAGGGCCTCTTGGGAATGTTAATGTCTGCTGGGAGTTGAGGGACTGAGCTGAACTCATCTCAATTTCTCCTTCCATTGCTTTTTTTTCTCCAAGGCTCTATATTGTGGCATTAGTTGCCATGGCAGCAGTTGGTTTTCAGCTGTAAGGACGGCTGTCTGTGTACGATTTGTTGATTCAGACACGACTGACCTCACTGTAACTACTGTTAACAGACAGACTGGTAACGCTGCAATTATTATCATTTAAAATAGTTCTGCTAGGTGGCTTGTGCTTCAGATCTGTGTGGGTGCGCCATTGTGCGTCACGGTGTGTGTGTGTGTGTGTGTGTGTGTGTGTGTGTGTGTGTGTGTGTGTGT